ACATTAAAAATAAATAAATAAAACCTGCACCTGTCTGCACTAGCCTTGTAAAATGTGTTAACTAACTGGTTTAGAAGGGCATATTTTACCCCACTTCACACAAAGCTTAGATTTGTCTAGTCTAGACTGAAAGGAAGATTAATAGCTAGTTCTAATCTGTTGTAAAATTATAGTATGGACAAGACAAGTTGTTCCTTAGCATGAATGAGCTAGTCAAGCAAAAGAAAAGATAAATCCGATTTATCTCAATCGTCAAAATTTACCTAAAATCCTATGGCAGGAAATTCCAATCTGTCTCTAGATCTACGCTGTATTTCATTACATTGCTTGATTCATTTGATTTCATTGGAGCAGCATCAGTTTACATCAGTTTAAAATGCTTACTTCTAAGGAAAGGAGAGTGTTTCAGTATTTTTATGCACATCTGCTAAACTAAGCATTCTAGAGTACCATGCAGCAATAAAAAAGAGCAGCCATATAAACGTGAAACAATAATGACAAACATAACATAAAAATGATGTGTATATAAATCGGGACCTACCAAATTCATGATTTTGCAGTTTTCTTGAAAAATGCAAATTTGGTAGGTCTCCCATGAAAAATCCTGGTTTCCATGAAAAAGCAGGCAAATAGCCAATGAGTGAGTAGGAAGGATTGGGGGAAAGGCAGCTGCAAACAGAAAAGGGCAGGGTGGAGGAGAGGGGAGACAGGAGGGGAAGGGGGAGAAAACTAGAGGCTGAGCCCCTGATGTAGGCTCAGTCCACGAACCAGTCAGGGGCCAGGAGGGTCTTAGCACTGGCTTTTAAAGCACCTTGCGGCAAGCTGCTGCAGCATGCCTGCTTGTTTCTGTCTGAGAAAGAGCAGATATGAATGTGAAGAAGGCTTCCATAACTGCCAAATATGTTTCAGTGGTGGACCGTGCAAGACCATATCCTGCAGGGATCTTGCATGTAGATGGAGGCAGTCTCTTCTGCGCCACTTGCAGAACTCCGGACGTGTCCAGCAAAACCAGCGTCTATCATCACTTGGAATCAGAGGCACACATGACAAAGAAATTTCCTTGAAGAGGCTGAAGGTAAGAGCAAGAATCAAGAGACTGTGTACTCCCTGTTTTAAAGGACCACAGAAAGCAGGTTGGCAAGGTGAGAGATGGCAGTTTTCCTCATGGAGGCTTTTGCCAACAGCCAAATTTGATCACCCCAAGTTAAGGGACTACCTGACCGGAAATATTCCCAATGCTGGCAGTTTTCTGTGTGCCAACAAGTGTCATCAGGTGTATCTCCCTGAAGTCATTGCTTCACATGTAGAGTCAGTGAAGGCTGCCTTGGCAGAGTATCATCCCTTTTCCATTGTGGCTGATGAAGACCCTGACCCTCAGGACAACTATGTGCTGCACATTTTATTTGTACCAGGGAGCTGGACAAACCAGGACCTGCCTGTGTTTCAAACTGAGCTGGTCCACCTCACATCTGTCAGTTTTTCCACCATAGCCCAAGCCATTGTGAAAGTAATTGTCAGCTATGGTGTAGACTTTAACAAGATCTCAGCATTCCTGTCTGACAGTGTCATGTACACGTGATGTAGGGCTTTCTCTGATGAGCTCCAAGGAATGGGAATGCTGCCCAATACTGTTCATGTCGCCTGCAATGTGCACATTCTGTCCCTAGTAAGTGACATCTGACACACAGTTCCCCAAGGTGGATAGCCTGGTGTCTTCATAGGTGCATGCTCAAGCTTCACGATCTCTTGAGGCAAGGTGACATTCAAGATCAAGTGATGTTTGTGGCTGACAATGCCATCCAGTTGACAGAGCTCCAAACCTGGTTTGAAGGCCACCGTGCTGTGATCCACCACGCATACAATAAAAGTGAAAACTTGGAAAGTTGGGTCAAAGACAGGGCATCACAAGAACTGTCAAGCTGCTGTCATGAAAACTAACACAGAGCAACGCTCGAGGCATGACCTGTCACTGCCAGTGCAGTTTAGACATCCGGCTGCCCCCTTCCTTAGTGCTGTTTGCACTTTGGACCCCAACCAGATGCCTGTTCTTAGTTGTGACTCTCAGTTATTGAAAGAAATCCCAGGATGGGGGAAAGAGCATGACAATGAATTTGATGCCTGTGTGAACTTCAGCAAGGAGTGCCAAATGCCTGTCTGTGAGTGTGCTGTGGGACTCTGTCTGTGACTGGCTTCCACATCTTTATGCCCTGGCAAGATGCTGCCTCATCATTCCAACAAACTCGGTGGATGCTGAGCGTGTCGTCTCTGTGTATGCACAAGTGTTCAGTAGGGCTGTGCAAAACAGCACCATTCCACTTTGACTTCTGTTTTGATGTTTTGACTGAACAGTGCTTCATTTTTAGTTTCATTTAATTTCGAAAGCACTGCTCCATTCCGTTTCATTGAAACGGTGTCAGTGTTTTGACGCTGTTTCAACATTTTGCCCATAGGCTATAATGGGGAAGCATGAAACAGCCTATAAATTTGTCATTTCTTGCTTGATTCTGATGAAACATGCAGAGATGATAGCCCCTTCTGAGGTCATGAAGCCTGCCAAGTTTCAAGGAGATAGGTGCAGGGGTTTCTAAAAATCTGCTCCTCAAGCTTCTGACAAGCAGGGGCCAGGGAGCAGGAGCAGCATCCTGTGATCCAGCAGACAGATCGGGGGCCTGCACCCGCAAGAGAAGTCCAGCAGAGCCCCCGCAGCCCTCCTGGAGGTGCAAGTGGCCCCCGATCTGCCTGCCGGATGACAGGAGGCTGCTTCTGCCGCCTTGGACCCAGAGCTAGGAATGAAGCCCAGCTCCGGGAAGCACCTTCTCCAGCCAGGCTGAGTTTTCCAGCACTGGGAATGGAGCCCTGCAGCAGGAGGTGCTTCCCCCAGCTGGGCTGAGTTCCCCAGTGTTGGAAACTGAGCCCAGTAGCAGGAGGCACTTCTCCCTGCCAGGCTCAGCTCCCAATAGCTCACAGCCCTGTGGAACTCAGCCCAGTGGCGGGAGGCAGAGCGCAGCCCTGGCCACCAGGCTGAGCTCCATGGGGCTGGCCGAGTCAACTGGAGTGCAGCCCAGTGTCAGGAGGCAGGCAGAGGTGGCTGTGCTCTGATCGGCTCTGCCAGCCCCATGGAGCGCAAGCCAGTGGCAGGAGACAGGGAGAGCCATCCCCGCAGAGTGCAGCCTTGGCTTTCCCCAGCCTTCCACCACCTGGCTGCTGCTTCAAAACTCAAAATGTTTCAAAACTTTCAAAACGTTTTGATTGGCCTCATTTTGTTTCAAGGCTGGTTCGAAGCCCTTCATTTTGTTTCAATTTCGCTGTTTCAAGCTCAAAACAAGTCGAAACAACTGGCGAAGCTTTGCATAGCCCTAGTGTTCAGCCAACAGAGGCAGCAACTGTGCCTGGGTGAACCATGCTTGCATTTAATACATAGCCTGAACTGTCTGTCTTAAGGTTAGAATTCAGTTTCAATAAACTCCTTTTTTATAATGTCCTTTAATAAAGTGTATATAGCTGGTATGAGTTGCAATTCATGTTGTGCATAGTACAGCTTTATTTTCATAAGGTGTTTCAGTCTAGAGTCTGAGTAAGTGCTTATATGATACTATTTAATAAAGTATATATAATTGGCATTCATTCAAATTCATTGGTTTATTTTAATAAGATATTTCATTTTGCAGATTAATTAGGTGCCTAGACTGCGATATAACAATACAGCAATTAATGGCTTTGCTGGAATTGATCCCCTGATCAAGCCCAGGGAAGGCATTAATTGCCACATTAGCACACAGTCTAAGATATGGTTAATACTTTCCCTGGGCTTGATCAGGGAATTGCTGCATTAGCAAGCAGTCTAGGACCCAGTTAATGCCATCCCCAGAAATCATCCCCTAATCAGTCCTGGGGAAGGTATTAACAGCATCCTATACTGATTGCCACCGTGGCAATTAATGTCTTCCTTGGGTTTAATTCCCTGAGCAAGCCCAAGTAAGGCATTAATTGTCATGTTAACAAGCAAGCCCTGGTTTGGGACCATCAGCCGGTCTTCAGGGAGGGACGGGACTTCTGGTGCTAAAGTTTCATTTACTTTAGCATTTAGACTTTATAATTTTACATGTTATATAGTTATATAGACTTTTATAATCTTACATGTTAATCTAATCTTACATGTTATATAGTATGTATAACATTCTATATCAGGGATAGGTAACCCCTGGCACAGGTGCCAAAGTGTGGCACTCAAAAACATTTTGCTTGGCACGCATGCCTCTGGGTGGATGGCAGGGAAGGGGCCGGGGCTGTATGGCCACAAGGATCCAAGCCCTTTGTGGCTCCCCTGCCATCCACCCCTGGCACACCAACATCTTACAAGTTGAAGTTGTGGGTGTTCTTGGCACTCTGCCGAAAAAGGTTGCCGACCCCTGTTCTATAATGTTTCAGTAATTTATAGTTTATTATGGAGTTGTAACATTATTGAAGTGAAATGTTTTACCTTATTGGAAATGAAAAGTTTTAACATCATCAAAATGAAACCATTTGACATTAACAGAACCACATAGTCCAGTGATTCCAAATCAGTTTGTTTTCTGGAATTTCCAATCCACAGTGAATTTCAAAATTTTGACTTTTCATGTTTCATTAGGAATTAAAACTAATTTAGTAATGTTATATATGTGGGATGGAAATTCTAGTTTGAGTTGAGTCCTGCTAATATAATTTGACTTGAAAACTTAAGGAGACATAACTAAGTAGGGCAGTCCCTCCTACAAGATGCATTAACCATCACTATTTCTCTGCATCCATATAATGTCTTAAAGTTCTTAAGCATCTCTGAAATAACTGTTACAATTTGAGGATGCTGTTACTTTATATAAGTTATTAGTCTATTTATCTGTGTTACAGTAGCACTTAAAGGCCTTGATTTAGATTGAATTCCCATTGTACTGAGTTTAGATTGAATTTCCATTGTACCGGGCACTATGCTTTCACAAAAATTAAGAGATAACCCCATCTTTCAAATCATTTACAGTTTAATTAGATCAAGCAGACAAAGAATTATCATTATCAACCCTTTTTACAAATGGAGAACATAGACATGGGGAGATTAAAGATTTTCCAAATGTCACACATGGAGTTTGTGATAGCCTATGGCTTAAACTCAGATCTCAGAAATCTCAGTTCACTGCCTTAACCACAAGCCATTTTTTCCTCTCAGCAGCAGCTTAGTGATGGCATTCCAAACTAAACATCTGTATCTTCCTTTTGCTAATATTGTCTCCAAATCCAAAGTTTTCTGTATGCAACATGTTCATAACATCTTGCCAAGACCATATATCCTGATCTGATTAAAAAGTATGCTTCTTCACCAAGGAAACAGCTCCACTGAATTGTTCTACTTAATCTTTGAAAACCTGCAATATCCTCAAACAAAACAGTACATCAAATTAATCAATTTGCCACTACACAAATTGTTCCATTAATTCCTTAATCTGGTCCCAGAATTTTTACAATCATTGGACACTCCCAAGAGCAATGATTACTAAATACTTAATTTGGATTTGCACTGGAGTCATCTGCCAACTGGAATCATGCCAAATTTGAAAGCCAACACACAAAAAATAAAACACCTAATCAAACGATTGCAGTTTCATGGCTTGACAGAGGCACCTTTGCACCATGTGTATGGCATCTATTCTAGGTCATGCAAAGTACGTCCTAAATTTCATTGCTAGCAACTTTTAACTTCATGTTGAAACAAAGTTAAATACAGAGGGTTATACAATTTGATTACAAAGTAGGGACAGGCTTTTCAATAAGCATGATGTTCTGAAGTAGAAATCCAGTGCAATGGATTCAGGCTTCTGAGGATTTAGTTTGTAATATAAATGCAAATCCTGCTCAATCCA